AGCAACTATGTTATATTTACTGACAGTAAAAGTGTGGTCGACAGATTCAACAACATTCAAACAGCCAAACATATAAACCACATTGAACTGAAAATTCTAAAAATTCTTTTTGAAACTATACAATTAGGACTAAATGTAATAATTACATGGATCAAGGGCCATTCAGGAATAAAAGGCAATGAGATCGTTGACAATTTAGCTAAATCAGCATATATGCTTGGAGAAAAAGTAAACAAAAATTTAATTCCAGCGACAGATATTGACACCGTTAGTAGACAAAAATTTAAAAATCATTGGCATTTACATTACAGAGAATGTAAGACTGGCTTAAACTTTTATCATTGTAACCCTAGGATACCCTCAAGAAGATGGTTCTACACAGAATCTAATCGGCATTTTATAAAGACCATTAATCGGCTGAGAGCAAATCATGCTCTTACGCCATCTTACATGAATGGAATCGGCTTATCAAATACTCCCAATTGTACTTGCGGCAAAATAGGCGATCTAACACATATTATATTAGAATGTGATTTACAAATGAATAATATAAACGAACTTTATAAGGAACTAATAAATTCTAAGTGTTGTTTTCCAATAAACCTTAATATTTTATTATTTTCAAATAATATGGAAATTCTTCATTGCATTTACAAACATGTTAAAATATGTAAATACAAGTTATAAATAGTATATAGTCATAATCTGTTAATATGGTTTGAAAAAATAAAAACAAAAAAAAAAACAAAAAAAAAAAATACAAAAAAAAACGTTACCACAAATTAATAAAAAAAAAAGAATTAAGAAAATAGAAATAGAACAAAAACAAAAGAAATACAAAAAAAAATAACAAAAAAAAAGAAAAAAACAATACAAAAAACAAAAAAAAACCAAAACAAAAAGATTAAACAAAAAAAAAACAAAAAAAAAGAGAAAACAAAAACAAAAAAAAAAACTAGAAAACAAAAGAATAAAAAAAAAACAAAATAAAAATATATCAAAACAAAATTTATGTATCTATAAAAATATTAGGTATATGTAGTAATAACATTGATAACTGATAAGAAAATTTTGACTATGAATCTGCAATCTATAATAATTAAAATTCAGTCGATTTTAACAATCAACACAAACAAGTCTGGCTAATTGGCTTTGCCAAAGCCATTTTTCAGAAAAAAAAAAAAAAAAAAAAAAAAAACTCTATGTCAATTTCCCATGCGTGTTTATATATCTGAGATCTATAAAATTCTCTATTTTTAATATAAGATTGATGTCCACTTATTCTAACATTAACTGGTCTTGACGGTTCTTCTTCTTCTTCAAGTGCCCTGTCCGTTGCGAACGTTGGCTATTAACATGGCAATTTTGATCTTGTTTGCGGCGCTTCTGAATAGTTCGACCGATGTGAGCCCGAACCACTTCCGCAGATTTTGGAGCCACGAGTGTCTTCTCCTGCCTGGCCCTCGCTTACTGTCTATTTTTCCCTGGACAATCAATTGTAGCAGACGGTACTTATCGTGTCTCAATATGTGGCCTAGATATTCAAGCTTTCTTTGTTTAATTGTATTCACGATCTCTTTCTCCTTTCCGATTCTTTGGAGTACCTCTATGTTGGTGACATGTTCGGTCCAGGATATACGAAGAATGCGTCGGTACACCCACATTTCGAATGCTTCTAGTTTCCTCGTTAGCGTCTCCGTCAGCGTCCAGGCCTCCACGCTATACAGCAATATCGGAAAAATGTAGCATTTAACCAGACGTAGTTTAAGGGGAAGAGACAAATCCTTGCTTATAAGGAGCTTTTTCATATTGCTAAATGCTGCTCTAGCTCGTTCTATTCTCGCCTTAATTTCTATGGTCTGTTCCCATTTTGCATTTACGTTGGTGCCAAGGTACACATAAGATTCTACATGATCAATTAGTATGTTACTTATCCGTAATTATCGAGCAGGTTGTTGCTTTTTGCTTATCAGCATCCACTTTGTCTTCTTGAAGTTGAGGCTCAGGCCGTATTCCTCACTAACTGAATAAAGTCTTTCCATTACTTGTTGTAATTCGTCTATGGTACTGGCAAGGATCACCGTGTCGTCGGCATATCTTATATTGTTCGTTAACTCGCCGTTTATTTTTATGCCCTCATTTGCATTTTCCATACATTTGTTAAATATTTCCTCGGAATACATATTGAATAGGAGTGGGGATAATATACACCCCTGACGGACACCTCTTTTGATCTGCACGCTTTCAGTGAGTTCGTTGCCAATTTTTGCTCTTGCTGTTTGACCCCAGTATAGGTTTGACGAATGGAACGGTCTATGCTGGGAGTGACGTTAAGGGACCGAATAAGGAACGAAGATCTACGAAGAAGGACGAGTATTACTGATGTTGTGGAACGCATAGCGGAACTAAAATGGAACTGGGCAGGCCATGTAGCGAGAATGCACGATTCACGATGGACGAGCAAAATTACAAATTGGAGGCCAAGAGCAGACAAACGCAGTAGAGGAAGACCACCTACACGTTGGGCCGACGACATCAGGCGTATCACTAAAAATTGGCACCAAAGAGCACAAAATCGTGAGGAATGGAGGAGTTTACGGAAGGCCTATGTCCAGCAGTGGACGTGATAAATAGAGGCTGGATGATGATGATGATGATGATGATGATGATGATAGGTTTGCCACAATTCGAATGTCCTTGTCGTCAATACCTGTCTTTCGCAGAATACCTATCAATTGTTCATGATTGACATTGTCAAATGCTTTTCTAAAATCTACAAAGCACAAATACACGTCCTTATCAACGTCTCTACACCGCTGTATAAGCACCTGGAGAGCGAAAATTGCTTATCTAGCTCCAAGTGCTTTTTGAAAACGAAACTGCGATCTACCAATATTTGACTCACATTTATCATATATTCTTCTATGAATGATCTTAGTGAACACTTTAGTGATATGATTGATAAAGCTTATAAGCCGGTAGTCATCACAAATCTGGGCATTTGGTTTCTTCGGGATTGTAATAAATGTTGACTGTAGCCAGTTCTCCGGGATTTTACCGCTATTATATATGTTGTTAAAAAGTACAACTAGATCATCAAGGAACTGTTTGTCTGATTTACATAGGATCTTTAATATTTCGCAGGGTGCATTGTCCGGATCTGCTGACTTATTGTTTTTTTAGTGCTGCAATAGCATCTTCTATCTCCGATTTAAGGATTGAAGGTCCTGTTTCTCCTTCCCCATATAGGTGATCAACAGTCCCGTCAGATGCAAATAATTTTTCTATGTATGATTTCCATATTCACCTTGACGGTTCACCTAATTTAAACTGATCGCATTTACAAGGTATTTTGTAAATACAATTCTTTGTTCTTTCTTGTTTATTGTTAGGTTGTTGTTGTCTTGTTTTAGATGAAATAGTTCTCAATGTGTTTGTTGTAATGAATGTTGTTGAAATGTTGAATTTATGTCTTATGTTTTTCTGATAATCCTTCTATGGGTATTGCTATTTTTCTCGTAGTATTCCTTGTGTATACTATAGGATCTCGTTCTAAGTTGTTCTGTCTTGTTTGGTCGATTGTTGAAAATGTCTTATATATATATATATATATATATATATATATATATATATATATATATATACACATCCTAATTTCCAGCGTTTTCTATCGAAGCAATCTTCAGTTGTTAGATCTCTGGAGGTCATTGCATCGTCGACATCGTCTCTCCAGGATCGTCTTGGTCTACCTCGTTTTCTTCTGGTTGGCGGAGTCCATTCTTCTATTTTTTTTTGGCCATCTGTTTTCCGGCATTCTCTGAAGGTGTCCGTACCAGTTAAGTCTTTTGGCTTCGATTGTGTCTATTATGTCTAGAGAAAATGTCTTATTTATATAAAAAAATATAATATTACATTCACTACTTTTCCTAGATGACCAAGTCACTTGCACAAGACAAGGAGGATATGGAATATATGATAAGAAAATTAAACGAAAAATATGAGCTAAGGGGACTCAAGATAAATATGTGTAAGACCGAAATCTTATGTATTAAATCCGAGGTTGCAGATTTAAACTTAAGTTAAGGAGAACAGACTATTAAGAGTTGTAAGACTTTTAAGTATTTAGGGTCAATGATAAGCCGAGATGGTACTTGTATGAAGGATATAGAAATGAAAGTAGCACGGGGAAAACAAGCCACGAAAGCACTCCATGAAAGGATATTTGATAATACTCTAACCAATGAAACCAAAAAAGGATATTTCAAAGCATAGTGATGAATATTGCAATATACGAAGCGGAAATATAGCCAATGACAACGTCAATACGAAATAAAATAAGAACAGTTCAACTGGACTTTAGAGAAGATGTCTACAAATTACCAGGGCGGATAGAATCAGAACAGAAGAAATCCGTGGGTCTCGGGCAAAAGGGCATATCTTTGCAAAATATAATTGTTCAGGAGACGAAATTGAAAGTTCAACGTTTTTCTAAAATCAGATGTGTTACTTTAGCCATTGCTTGGCATATTAGAATGAAAGAGAATCTAATAAACTAACTTCTGCTGCATATAAACAATTCATAACTTATTCTCATTTGAAGTTAGTAATTTTCTTCATCAGTTTACTCAGATATATCCTTTTACTCAAATGTAAATGTTATTATGTATGACATACACAATAGTTTGTACTACCTTAATGCTGAATGGTTACTATTAATGGTTTCTATTGTAACCAAGAAAGAAAAATAAGGTAAATATCGAAATTAAATTATTGTGCGCTGCAAAAGGTCATTCTTCGTTTTCTTCTCCATCCAGTATGACGTCTTCAACATTTTCATCCAATGGAATAGACCTATAGCAGTCGTGGAAGATATCGGGTATTAGCGGCAGCATGTCAATGAGGTCCTTCTTCTTACTCGCTAGAGTAAGAGGCGAGAGCGTAAGATTGCGAAAGGACCACCGTAGGACAGTTCAGGGTTCAGATGGTTGCGGAAACGGCCTCTACGGCGATAGTTTATTGTCTTGAACGACGAATCCGGATCCAGTGTCTCCTGGTAAAGAACTTTTTCTGTCTTTTTTATGTAACGGAACCACTTTTGTGTTCCTCCATGCAACTTTTTCCCCGTCTTCTTTAACTTTTTTATTTTGAAGTGTCGAATTGTACAAATCGGAGATTTGGAAAAAGTCTGACTGCTTCATTTCTGTCACAATAGATGGGTTTTTCTTCCCCGTCTGACGAACTAACTGCATCTAGTCGTGCGGGTGATAGATTGGGATATTTGATTTTTTTTCATTTTTTCTATGAGAGCATGATAAAAGTCACACTTTATATGAGTGTGACCAGAAACTAGAAATTTGTGGTCAATCACCTCTAGAGTCTAGTGAAGCAATTTGGTTGCCTCCTCTTATAGCTACTACTTTATTTTACATGTAGCAGTGCGCTTGAATGTTCGTGCAATCGTGCACAGTTAAATTAAATTATCACAGTTGTTTTTTATAGAAAATGACTGAAGATTCTAGTTGGGGAGTCGGCAAATATTGCTGCAAATTAAACACAAATGTTTTAATACACTTATCAACTAAACTTTTATTATTCCGTTTTGCCTTATATGCTTGATTTGCCGTATCGTGGTGCTGCTGTAGCTAAATTTCAAGAGCATTTTTTCTTATTCCAGCGTTAAAGATATCTTTATTTTTAGCTTGTCATAGGTGTTGCATATGTCTTTGCTAGGAGATTTAATTGCCAAGTTCAGCCCGTGAAATATCCATGTGTAAACTGTTAGGCTAACTGGTTTGAACGTTACTATGAATCTACCTTTGTCTTATATTCGGCATAGCAGTTTATTATAGTGTACTGTGATGGCAAATACTTTTTTTCTGGGTCCCTTCGGGAATAGTGACTGCGATACGATGTTATCGAGAGTAGATGACTTTTTACCCTTTCAATTTCGTCATCACATATTTTGTTCGGAGGTGCATGTTTACCGCGCTCGTCATCCTTGGGTATTCCTGATGTACTTTTGGTTACTTTTTTATAACACTTATTAAAAATTTCTCCGTTTCACCAAAGGTATATAGGAAGCATTTATTACAAACAGGCTAAAGATTTCCATTAATACGTAGGCTGTACTTATAAGTTAAATTGCGATTTTTTGCATTTCTCTTGTTTTTCTTAATGTTTGTGTCTTCTTTGGCTCGGTAGTTACTAAATTTGCAATATAACTTAAAAAAATCACTCATATTCCAGCGGCCTGGTATGGCCGGGCAACCAAATCGTCGTTGGGATGTAGATTTTCTGTCAGTGCCCGTTCTTAAACACTCAATAAACGATAAAATAAAACGTGTTTGAGAGATTAATAAAATTAGGTCAAACAAAAAATTAAACCCCTCTGTGACTCAGTGGTAAGAGCGCCTACCTTTAAACCTAAAGGTCGTGAGTTCGAATCTCGTCTGGGTGGAGAAATTTTCGTTTATTAAAAAATTAATGAATGAAAATAATTTCTATCCTTGTGCGATCGGTACTTACCAGAGGGACCGCAGACGTTCGGATACAATTAGCGTCTCTTAGCAAAGACAATGACGTCGACTTTGCTAAGTATCAAGACAATTACTCTACACACACACACACACACACACACACACACACACACACTACACTAGGTACCTGACTGTACCATGCCAATGATCTTAGTTGTCGAGGCATTAACTCAATAATAAAAAAAAATTAATGAAATTAGTGTTATTACATTTGAGTATATGAACATAAGTCGTGATATCTTCGTTTTTTCACATATATTTAAACACTTTATACTAATTAAATTTTGTCTAAATATCTCCTTTTACTCTAATCATAATTAGTAAATTTTGTTCGCCTGATTCCAGTAAACGATAATAACTCTAGATATTCCTTTTTACCCAAACGTAGTTCTTGCATTTTTAGTTCATATAAGATTCAGGTAAAGAGAATTATCTACTAATATAACATTTTACCCGAATTCGTTTTGTAAATACATTTGTAAACTGAAGCATATCTAGAATTATTCCTCTTTACTCCATTGTAAACGTTGATTTTGTTCAATGACTTCCTTTTCACATGTAAAAAATCAAATGGAGTTATTTAGGTTGTAGATATATCCTTTTACCCAAATGAGAAGCGGACAATTTACTTTATTTTCATATTTTTAACCCATTTCGGAAAAACATTCGAGATATGTCCTTTTACCCGAGAGCCAGAAATATGGAGCAGAATGGAAGTAGAATGCTTAATTACAAAAAAATGGAAAACACAGCCGTGCAGTGGTAGGAACATGTACAAAGGACGCCAGAGCACAGGTGGTCGAAAAGAATATCAGACTGGGACCCGCCACCCGGAAAGAAGACGGAGAGGGAGACCTTCTACAAGATGGAAAATATACACAGGAGCGCTACCATTGATAGAGTCCTCAGAGAAGGTGACTGGGAAAATAGAGTGCTGTGGAGGACAAAATCGGAATGGATGGGAAAAATCTAAGAAGAAGAAAAAGAAGAAAATGAAAGCCGCAAGTAATTAAAATAAAAAGCAAATCGGAAAACTTAAACGTAAGACATTCAATTAATTTTTTTATAATTTCCTTAGGCAGAATAAATTGGAAACGAATAAATTAAATATGAAAAGTACAATATTAAATCCAGTCTGTTTTAATAGTGCTTTACTGACTGTTTTTTAAAAGTTATATTAACAATATAACAATTGGAGAAATAATCTGTATGAAGTCCTGATTATAATATATATTGTTCCTTAGTCCAAGGGAGCTGCTTTTTGGTAAATATTCACAAAGAACATGTTAAATATCTTGTCATGTTTTCTAACATGGTTTTAAAATGAAGCTTACTTTTAAAATGAATTGTCCATAAAGAAGTAAAGTATCAATCGCTCTTTATCTTCATTTCTTGACTTATTTTCCAATTTTACACTTTATGATTCTACGAAATCCTGTTAGTCTGTAATGAAAAACGTGCTGCTTTAATGACTTAGTTCTAACGGAATAAGGACGTAATACATAGTTTGGGATAGTAAACTGTCTAAATTACGCATGCCATTGATTTACTATGTACGTCGTTAGGAAGGCGTATTGATTCGGAAGTACTTAATTCCTTATACATATACAAGCAAACATATAAACAATTATTTACTAAAGAATCACTTTGAGCCCCTTAAGCAGTAATTTCAACATAAAAGAATATGTAATCAGATTCTAGTATAGTTCTACACGGTGGAAAAAAACTTGGTAGTTAAACAATTCGAACTGTTTCATTATGATGTTTTATCTTAATAAGTTTTTCATTAACTGCACCTATTCAATTTAGAAAGTGTTTATTTATAAAATATTTTAGATACTTTTATTTAACAATTATTACAGTCGTTTGTAGGCATGAAATATGCCAAAATATTTCCATAGTGTCACACGTATTTTTAACTTCTGAATAAGTTCAAAATCATTAGTAAAAGTGAAGACAACCTTCTGCAGGACGCTGATACCATATTACAGTCATAAGTTGATATTTATGTCTAACAATTTTAAATAAGAAACCGTATAGTAAATATAAAGCAGACCATAGGCGAATAATATTTACGTCAATTGGTATATTGCACAATAATGGACATTGCTGTGTAATATTCAACAACAGTCAAGTAACTAATGTTTGTATTTTAAAAAATTCTGCGAAAATGTATAACCAGCAAGTAGTTGCTAGAAGATTTTGTTTTTCAAAATTGATGGTTGACTTACTTGGCCTCGATCTTGTAGGCCTTAATATGCTTATGGTTGAAAAAATCTGAGGGTGGTGTTTTACCCTCCAAATATCAAATTCTAAGTGTTTTGTGTGTTTTCTTGAATATGTGTTTGTGTAATATGTGTTAACGCAGATTATATGTTTTTGTATTGTGTGTTGCATATGTATTATATATCAATCGTAAATAACACATCTCCGACTTTCTAAACCGCTTTTGTTGGTATATTCTTGCTATTGACTTCTTCCTTTAGTATTGGCAACCAAAGCCTGATGGGTTCGCTAGATATTTTTCTTCATAGCATGACAGCTACTCCTTTGACATTTTTTTTATGTCTGCTTCTTTCATGATTATTAATGTATTTCTATTGTACCCTTTGCTCATTATCTCAGGGATGTTTGCATATCTGAGATTTATCGAAGTGAAAGGAGTGTTGTACAACCAAACCAAGATATCGAAAACATGCTATCAACTTGTGAATATGGGAGTGATGGACTGCGATTTGTACAACTTATAAATAATATAGTGAAAAGAATACCTTACAAAGCTCTTTTCGGATGTTGGTATGTCTTTGCCTCTCGATGGTACTCACTCAGAATTTGGAAAGTCAAGAATATTTAGAAAATATGATTTATTTATCCCCAAGTAGTCCAATTGCTTTAGAATCTACAATAGTAGACTCAGTTCTAATGCTAAATTAATCTCCAGAGGCTTAAAAATATCTATCAAGTCCTGTAATACAAGTTTCTAATGATGGCGCAAGACGAGACAAGACGAGATTTCAGGAAATTCTTGAAATAACAATAAATTTGGCAATATCGATGTCAATAATTATGTACATTAATAATATTACATTTATTTCATTATGATTTAATTAAAATATATACAGGGTTAATCTAGTCACTCCTCACCGCTTTTCATACTTCTTACCATGGATGGTAAATACCGACTCTGTCGAGGTACTGTGCTAATTTGTCAATTTTTGTTTGCATATGACTTCGGTGTTGAGTTAGTAGCCAGGTGTCATTCGTAAATTGCAGATCTTTTAGCTGTTTGAATAGGTCCTATCTAATGATGACCACTTACGTTTATTAATGCCCAATCCATCATAATAAGAAATAGGGTACGGAATAGTACATAACCGTGTTTAACTTTCTATGGCTATTTCTTCCGTTACTCTACCTAAGTGCTCCAGTTTGGCTTTATATCCTTTGTAAAAGAGTTTATGATTTTCAGTGGTACAGCATATAATCTTAGGATTCTCCTCAATTGTACCCTATTTACAGGGTTAAAGGCCTTTTCAAATTTTTGTATGTTGCAAAATCTCTAATTCTAAGGGTGAAAATGTGGTCAATGGTGGAGCGTTTGGCATGGAAACCTGCTTCGTTACTTCTCAGTGTTTTATCTAGTTCCAGCTTTAATGTTGCCAATATGATTTTGGTCAACAGTTTGGATACGGCGCTTAATAGTGTTATTGCAC